TGAGAATCCTCTGCGAAAATTTCACACAGGAAGTTACGTGATACTCTGAAAGCTTTAAAGCTAATTCATTCACAGGAATGGAACAGACACGACTAATAATGGTTAGACCGCGACGTAAGACTTTGAAATCCCGTTTGAGTAAACCAGGAAAAATAACTGGGGAACAGTAGAGTAAGATGGGGAAAACACATTGATAAACAAAAGTAGAAATAATTAACTGGGATGCCCAAAACTGCCTGAGCTTTCGTATTTGAAATGAGTTTGGATAAGTTTATTGCGACGAAAATACACTTCCTGGGTACAAGTATGTGAATGAAGTGACAACAGATTATACCGGATACGGAATGCCGGAAGAGTGGCAAGAACCAGTCAAAACCGGTCGTGTCCTTCCGGGGAAATTTTTTCAAGTCATTCATATACTAATAATTTCAATGTACACGTATATGACTCATCTGGATGCGGAGTGTGTAACAAAGAAATTTCCATTGTGCATTCGTGGGTAACAGCATATCATGCCAGGAAAACCTAATAAGGGCAACTGAAACCTTCAGCTAACAAAATTCCTACCCGCAAGATAGTGCACGCGAGAGTGGGTGGAAGACGCAGTCTATTTCGTGCGCGAAGGGATGTTGCCCAAACGTTGAATAGCAGTTAATTTCATCAGAATTCGTCGAGCAAACAAAATCCGATCGGACTGGAATAACATTAACAAACACGAACAAGTTGTACCCCATTTTGACGAGTTCCGGAAAAGGCACCTTATTGCAAGGATTCAGTTGCTAATCGATGAAGCCATATTTGCAACAATTCACTTTTGCCAAGGTTGAAGCCCTGAGTTACGCTGTTGGCTTGCCAATTTCGGAACATGTTGGGATATTGGTTGCTGAGGTGGAGGGTTACCTTGTGAAGGGACAGCTTTGGTTCTCATGGTTAAGGTTGCTGGCTATTAATGGCTTTGTGATATCCCAAATGTTCATCATCACTCAAAGGAATCCGTAGTATATTCTTACTAAGAAAAAACTCCTTCGTATATGTAATACATATCAATAAGAGCGTGAGATTTACAATTTGCAACAATTAATATCTTGCGTAACTGGTACATTCACACACGCATTCGACAAGTGTCGAAGGTGGCCAGGTTCATCATATTATTCATCCACAATCCACCTTTTTATGCAGAATCGGATTGATTAATTGAATCGTCGGGAATTGGGTCTACTTAATTCCAGTTAACCATTGCACTTCCATTGCTAAACCTTTTTGCAGTTAAGATATCCCGGCGTCAAAATGAGATGCCTTGGTAGTAAATGAACGGTAAATGGACTCTGAGACACCTTAAACTGATATCGGAATATCTATCAAATTGACACTGTGTTATCTTGAATTGAAAATGGTATAGTCTGTTCTGCACAGAAATATACACTGCTCCATGGGATGGAAGTTTTTGCTGTGATCTGATATGTGTGCGTGCGCTAGATTTGGATCAAGTTCCGCGCAGCATAATCCATTTGTTGCCATAGCAATCGACTACATCCTGTATAACACAGTACCATTAGTCGGCTCCTGGGTGTGCTCATCATCATCACAGTTGCGGTGGTCTGTCACCATTAAAAGTGCGTGTCAACGGAATGTGAAATCGATTTTGCAAGTTAGATTTTGTTGGCTGTTTGAACTGATGAAACAGTTGATAGGACTGGAAACAGCATGCCGGTGAAAACGTCCCGGTCCAGGGTCCGATTTGAACTCTCTATCCACAGGACCAGGTCGGAATCCATACTGGGCCGTATACTTTCAGACACGTATTATATTTGCCAATGAGACCGGCACATTTCTGATTCAGTGTAGATAGCACAGCATGTTCAGTATTTACGCATACCTGCACAGATGTGCACCTAACGTGGTCGCAGGTGCCACTAATTCCCGATTTTGTGTGTATGTGTGTGGGTGTGCGCGCACAAACGTAACAGCTGCACGTGTAACTCTGTGGACCAATCAAATAGATGTGCTTTACTTTCATCCAATATACGTTCACATCTGCCAATGCACGGTGAACTCACAGTCGATATAAATATTCAATCCCTTGGACAGATTCAGTTCTTTTTGCAAATTCGGATGTCTGAGAGATTCTGATCAGGTTCCATGTGACCACCATTTACCACAATTTTGCGAATGCCAGTTTAGAAACAAGTTAATCGCGCAACTAAATAACGTGGGTAGATAATGTCCGAAAATACGAACACTGTTTAAACCTATAGAAGGTCATTTCATTTAGGGAAATGATATAGATTTTTGCTTTAAACGTATCCACTCTATCCTAAAAGCCACCGGTCTGAGTGCAGACTGTGTGATAAACAAACCACAGCACAATAATCTTCAGAAAAACGAATGAAATGCCCTTCTTCTGTTATCGTGGTTTCCACGCGATTAGTTTTTCTTGGTATTAGTGTCGGTTTCTAAATTCTGTAACTTTCTATTGTCAGTCAGTCTATCTCACTTATATGCAAGTTCACACGTTCAAACAAGAAATAGATTTGAATTACAGTCCAAATCTACAATCCTCCGATCAGGAAGCGACCTTTTCGTACACTTAGTGTATTGCGTAATGAGTGGAGCAACCACTCGCGCGTGTGCCAGATGTTGAATCAAAAGACACACGTAATGAGTACAGACGGTGCCCAACGCATCTGCAACTACAACAACAAAAACAGTGTGATAGTTCGTTTCTGGTCGACGGGCCGCTGCTCTGCGTCAGCCGGATTCGATAAATAAACTGTCCCGATTTAGTACACATCTGATTCGGTTCAACTCATATGTCCTCATATGTTGTTGTTAGTGTTGTTGTTACACATCTAAACGAGAAATCGCCAACGAATCATGACTGCGTACTGGCAGTCCGTTCGGATGAAACAGCAGAACGAAGAAGAATGGAATGTTGCAAGATGATTCAAATAGAAAGCAGAAAATTAACATAGACCAGGATTGCGAAGTGACTACACTGAAATTTATCTTGCGCAGTGTGGCCAACAATAATTCGAATCGGGTGTAACGCATGCGCAACAGTCATCTGTCGTGCAGATAACGCAACAGATCAATTGATGAAGTGAAGATGAGGCGTGAAGAAATACAGGCAGCGATTGGGTAGATTGGTCCCGATTGGTCCGTGTTCCAATCTCTTGTACTTAACATTGATAAGTGCATTTACGTTTCCCCTTAGTCTTAAAATCGAATCAAAGCACTCCCAGATCGATTTCTATTGAATACCTTGTTGTAACCCTCAATCCCTAACCTGTCCTGATCTGCGCGTGTCATCAGTGTTTTCACAAAAGTTCGAAAACTATCTTTTTAATTATATATATGGGCTCAGGAAACTGACCGTCCCCAAATAATCCTATTCTTTAACTCGTGATCAAAAAACTATCGGATCTGGGATAGATTTTCAGGAAAAGAATAAAATTTCGAAGGAGATGAAACTGTGACATAAAACGACGTCTTCAGTATACTTTTGGATGTACGCAGGGGGTGGGACCGAAAGATCACTAATAAAGGCAAAGAAAAGATATGGAGATAGAACAGCACCTTGAAGGGCACCAGAATTAGTAACAAGGAGTTGAGAAGTTTGTTTCAGTTTATCTTTATTACTATCACTATTATTTTCATCATAATGAATTGCGAATACATAGATAATATACTCACCTTCGACCGGGCCTCGCGGTACTTCTTCGTCCCACGGTTCACACGAATCGCAAGGCAGATCGGCAATTAACAATTGCAAATTCGTCCCAACCACATTTTGGATTGACCAATCACGTGTACACGAATCGGAACAATTGATTGTACCGTGAAACACCGTGTCCGCGTCCTTCGCATGTTCCGGATAGATGCTAGTGTGTGTGGCAAAATAGCGACGTGTGAGTTGCACGCAACTGTACGGTTCCTGACTGGTCGAACTTCTGTCAGCCGAGACTGCGAAACACATGGGAGAGATAGAGAGAGAGCGTGTGAGCAGGTGTGGTGTGATCCGCACGGAATACTTGAGCACATGTCCAGGTTACTGCTTGCTAGTTCTTTCAAATTATCATTATTTTATGAAGCTACTGTTACCCGATTTGGTATCAGTATCAGTTTTAACAAACCTACAACTATGCACACTTTCATGCGCCGATTTTGGTTGCTATCTTTTGGGTGCCTATTCGGATAAAAGAGCAGAATGAAGATTGGACTGGTGAGAGAGCGGAGTCAAAGAGAAGATAGAGAATTCATATAGACCAAGGAGGAAAGAACATTGAGTAGATGCACAAACATCACTGTTTGCGACACTCGGCCATATCACACCCAGTGTCTCTACCCCCCCCCTCCCGGTTACCACAATCTCAGGGTCTTACTCACCTACTTTACTGCGGTTGGCTCCCTGGAAAGGATAAGTCGGCTCCACATATGATCATGATCAAGATCGTGGAGTTCCTTGGGAGTTTGGTACGAGAGACGTCCCCAGCATCATTCGGGCGTTTTTAATTTTTTTTTAATTTTGAGGTTGTACCTCTAACCTTTAGTTTCAAAAGACCAGTCACGTCCACCTTTGTCACAACACCACCACCACACCCTGGTAGTAGTGCTGTCGTTGTTTATTTGCGATTGCTTACTTGTTGCGCTATGCCACACAACTTATTCACCCAGTCAGGGAGTTTAACAGGACCTGTGGGACCCGGACTCCTGATTAGGATTTTCATACCCTCATGTCAGGTCTTGGTTTGACCTCCCTCGATCTTTTTCCAACCGCTAACTACCTCGGCAAACATCGCTCGCTCAAGGCAACCTATCTGGTGACATGCGTAGCACATGTCTCAATCAGCGTAATCTATGAAGGTCGACTAATTGCTCCTCCAGTGGACTACCGCGATCACCTGAATCTCTGCGCCTACTAAATTCAGTATTTCTTGTCCAGCTGTCCAACCAGACTCATACAGTGCGGCGTAGACAGCCGATTTTCTATCAGTCGGCTTGCCCGGGGCCTCATGCAACAGCTATTACTATTATTATTACTACTACTACTACTACACCGGAGCAGATGAGCCGCACACAAATCAGCCTGAAATACAGCATTCTTTATCCATGCGGATGTGGGGGATCCTTTTGATAAGTTCATGTGTGAATTGAATACGGCTTCCAATTGGTTGAACGTTCTTGTGGAAGGAGGACATAGCTATCTGAGCCGAATCAGAGAAATTCATCCAAGCATGACAAACCTGCCCATTGATCTGATTTCAACCAAACAACGCGGCAGTGCTCCCATGCAACTCTACGGCACGTGGGCATCATGCGGTCGTGATTGGTTCCACTGCTTAGTAGTTCAAAGTGCGTTGATATTCCGCTTAGAGGATTCCCGTTATCACACAAGAGCTCGTCACTGACAATCACAGCGCGCTCGGAAAGCTGACTATGGTGACTATTGTTCTACCACACGGTCTCTCTCTCTCTCGCTCTCTCGAGCCAGCCAGCCATGTAAAGAATGTGTACAATGGGGTTTGTAAATTTTATTCTCATACTGTCAGACTTTCAAACTTCCTCTTCCCTGACTAGAAAGAAAATGATTACACATTAATTTTCGGATCATCTCTTGAGTTACTGTGTCATTGTTTCGTTTCCTCACCCCACTGTACTCTAACAACAAAAGTAACGGGAAAATTCACCCTTCGGATGTATCAAGCTACCTCCGAAAGTATCAGGGGCTGGATGCCTAGGGTTGCAGCTGGTCACTCATTCCTTGCACCTGGCGGAACGCTCCCATACGACCAAGCGTCTCAAATAGCCTCTACCGAGGAAGTCCTACTCACTGTCTTCCCGTGTTGCGGAGATGTTTTCACACCTAAGTGAGAGGATAAAAAGCCGACATCCGTGATTATCACCGAGTTGGTGGATCACTGGTGGTTCACCTAAGGGAGTTGGCCAAAAACTCTGATTCCAAACCAACCAAGATGGGGTGTACGAACTAAACACACCTTTCCGGCTGTGATAATGGTCACCGGCTCGATTGGGCACCTTGGACGTTCGACCCTGTCCGAAGGGCATATGATCCGATGAACTGATTCAATCCAGTTCAGTTTGTACAACTATTAACCACGCATATTCGAGCGCCGGTTTTGGTTGCTGTTTTTTGGCTGCCCATTTGGATGAATAATAGGAGAAGAAAGGAAACTTGAAAGTGGAGTTGAACAGAAAATGGGGAAGTTCAGTGGTCTAAGGGTTGCAAGGAGATTGAGAAGATGCACGAACGCCACTGTTTACGACACCCAACCATATTACTCAGTGTCTCTAACCATCGGTTACGATCATCCCGAGATCCCCAGCCAGGAAGCCTAACAGGACCTATGTGACCCAGTCTCCTGGTTAGGGTTTTTATACCCTCGTACCAGGTCTTAGCCTGACCACCCTGACGTTTTTCCACTCGGTGTCTGCTCCGATGAACTGGACACCGGCTCCCAATGGGTTGTGGTTTTCACACATTGCTTCGCTGGCTTGCGGGTCAGGATTTGGCTAGCCAAAGGCTCCGGGTGTGGATTCCTCAAAAGAATTCACCTGCTTTGGCATGGGAAACCTGACAGTATTCAGCACACATGCAAACATATATATATATATATATATCAGTTTGACTGACTGAGTTATAACACCGGTGAGAAGCCTTAAAACGAGGTTGATTAAACTCATTTCTGCAGGGTTTCCATAAAAGAATGAAAACGCTTTCTTGTAAATTCGAAAGATAACCGATTTTGGGATGTGTTTGCCTTCCCAGGAGTTTTATTAAGTCCATTATTACTGCCAGCTGTCCACACTTAAAAATCGATGAGGATAACCTATCCCGGTTTCCTCAGTAACTTCCGATTCACAAGAAGGTTCGATATCAACTCAGATGTGGTACATTGGAGATAGAAGTTGGTAAACCTTGTGTGTGCGTGCCTTGATATATTCCGCTCATCGTCATGAACGTATTTGCTGAACGTACAATGCGATTGTTTCACCGTTTCACATCGTCTCTCTCTCCCTGTCGCCTCTCTTGCCTTAGTCAATTAAATTCCCTCTGCCCGTCTGTGCGATCTGGTTGGATCCTTACCCGCAATTTGCACGATACGAGACTGTCTGATCACCGCCGTTTCAAAATGTTTGTGATGCTCTGATTGTCATCCCTAATCCATCCGTCTGATGATCTCTCGCTCGGGTTAGCTGGGTAAGCATCGAGTCCCTTGTTGCAGCTGAACCATCAGATCGATCGATAAACGAGTCCCCCGGTCTATCGTGTGATTGTCGGACCGATATAGGAGGATAAGTGTTGAATTCGGTGCTGCTCAAGCGTTGGTAGAGAATCACCACAAAAGAATCAGTTGTGGAACGATGCGCATGTGGGAAATTCGGAATGGAAAAAGTTCAAGGGATGATGATACTACTTTTTTCTAAGCAGGTCCGATCAACGGATTATCATAAGAAGCCTCTGAATTTGTCTATGGACTACAATATCCAGTAATATAGACCCACGCAAAAACTATTCTTGATAATTTTCCAACTGGCAATTTTCGCATTGAACGATCTAACTAACTACGTCGGAGATGGATTTCCGGATAGAACAAATATGATGGAAAATACGTTCGTATACAATAGAAATCCTAAACTAATCTCACCTGAGCCTCATTTCTGTGAACGAAAAAGATTGCTACCGCTGCCAAAACCATCAGTTCCCGCAAAATCACACCTTAGATTGTTGAATTGGTTTTTTGTTGAGACAATCGACACGACTCGGCCAAATCACAAATTCACTTGTAGACGTCTATTTTTCGATAGACAACCAATTTCTGGTTGAAATATGACCATCCCTCCCACCAGCACCAGCACCAGCACCACGCACGCACCTACCTACCCACCCCAAAGTGACAAATGTGTGTGGTGAAAACATTCATTTTCATTAAAAATTTCTTCCGTCTAGCTTGGCCAGTGTAATTTTTGTTTTGCAAATGCATAAATCTGATCCGTCTCATTGTCCCACAGTCCCACAGCCCCATAGTCCATGCGCCGAGTGGTGATTTACAAGTGATGAAACATTTAACAAATTCACACTCACCCAGTGGAAGAACCAATCCGAGTGCGAATGTTCTACCGCGATCGGGGGTGAAGAGGGGGGGGGAGTGAATAAAATAAGGTAAGAAATCATCATCAAGAAACTTCTTTATTTTTATTGTTTTGTTGATTTGAACGGAATATACTTCGGACTTCATCTGCACACACAATCCTCTGCAATGCTTGGCACGGGCTACGAAAATTTGTTTATCGTGAGTCCTTCTATCCTACTCAACCTTTTGGATTCATGACGTTCTCTATTTGGTTTGCCTTGCAGGTTTTATCTTTAACCCTAACCCAACAGTCTGCCGGTGTTTCCTTGACACCTCGAGACAATACCTCCGTTCCCGTTCCCCGTCGTTTGTTGCCCGCAAAGCAGTGTACCGTCACCAGCTTGGAGAATACAAGCGGAGGGATATCCGGTCGCGTATCTCTGTTCACTTCGTTGCGCTGGAAGAATACGTTCGCATTACACCGCAATGCGACCAGTCAACCATACACTGAGGAGCGCTAGCTGGAGTTTCGCTCTAATTAGAGCTTATCGGTAGTGTATATCCATTGGCCCGTCCGAGCGATGTGTGTATTACTACTATTGCACCAATCAGCTCATACGAGTGTATAGTTGACTGGAAGTGTACTGAGGATTGTGTGTGAAAGTGAAGTCCGGAAGATAGTCAATTCAAAACAATCAATACCAATAATCTCAAACAACTAATCACATGATAACTGTGAGTTAAATTTGAATGAAACCTGTGTGGGCCAGGACTATAGAGCCGCAAATGTATGGTTTCGGAGTCGAAACTCTTTAAGCCTAAGCTATACAACTGAAGCAAAAAGAAATTGCGCTTATTGTTCCAATGTGTATAATACAAGTATGCGAGGGAGAAATTATTTTCAATGATTCATAATTCTTTTTTTCTCACACATCGTGACCAAATAATGTTAGGAGTGTATCGATTCATAATTTGGTTCACATAAGGATTTGTTGTTAGTGGGGACAAACTTTCACACTCAATCGAAAGGTCATCCTGGATATCGTATTGCCACAGATCTGTGTTTGTTTCAAATTGATGGGGATTGGAGCATTAGGGGGGATAAATTACACGTGTAATCACACTATTCTCACCTAGGTGGGCGGTGGTGGCGCAATGGTTTAGTCGCTGTCACAGGTGTACTTAGGACCCCTGTGGTCCGAGGTTCAAGCCCCGTCACCACCACCACCACCACTGCCACCCAAATTTGGTGGTACAGGCAGCTATGCTGTCGTCCGATTCAATACCCCACACCTAACCTATCGGGGCCTTTTTTGTGGTTCGTGAATTCAAGTCCCGCAGGGCTTAGGTTATCGGTTTCCATCACTGAACAGCAGATCCTCGTAACTATGAGGTTTACCCCGTCTGCTGTTCATCACACAGAACTGTGTAATAAGAAATAAAAAAGATTGGATGCGCATTTGAATTCAGAGAGAGTACCGGAAGCAATCGCTGCCGAGGTGCACATTGAATGTGCAATTTCTATTTGATAGAAATATTCATCGTGAAACAGATCGAGTAGCCACGGGTTGTCCATCAAGTCTACTCCTAACGGATATACTGAAATGGTCTGATTAAAACATTAGACCTTGAAACAAGAACATACACAAACCAGTCTGTACTGTCGATATATGGACAACATATTCTGTCTAACACAGACCCCACATAGAGTACGCCATCCAAGCGTGGAATCTATGGTTGCAACGTTATCTTAAGGTTTTGGTACCTTCATACAGAATGGCCATCAAAATGGTTAAGGAACTGTATTCCAAGGCTTATGTGGAAAGACTGGAATCATTTATGGTTGTACCCCACACCGTATGGCTGAATTCGAACAGACTTGAATCTGGTGTATCAAATAACGTAGAACCCTGATCACCCATGTGATAGGGGGAAGAGCATTTCGTTCTATATAAACGTGACTATTTCCCTCTATTTTTCCTCATTTTCCTAATTATTTTATAAAATTTTGATTTTCGGATTTTGGCTCCAAAAAGCCTCATATCACACCACCAGCGATGTTCGATCCTTATTGGTCCATTTCTTCATGACTACTCACTTTCCAGCTAATTACCAAGGTCATTTCTGGCCGGTTCCAAGACGGTATATAAACAGACGAGTTGTGCGCAGTCTTGGTCTTTTTAGTCGAGCCAAATGTACAACCTCGCCTGAAGACCTGTC